GGCAAGGTGTTTAAAAGGGTATGGCTAATCCTGAAGCATTTGTTGTTGTGCTACATCAAGGAGTCTCTGACTTATGAGGGAAAGCCCTCCAATATGCCCTCCTGTCCATGGCAGCCCAGCTTAGCTCTTCTAAAATCAAGGCTGTGGCTTCCTTTATGGAGTCAATTCATCTCTTATTTGGTCTTCCTTTCCTTCTTCTGTCTTCCACTTTCTCTAGCATTATTACCTTCTCCAGGGAGTCTTGCCTTCTCATAAAGTGACAGCCTCAGTCATATTTTACTTCTAGAGAAAGCCTTGGCTTGATTTGATCTGGGACCCTCTTGTTCATCTTTCTGTCAGTCCAGGGTATTTGCAAAGCTCTCCTCCAGCACCATGTTTCAAAAGCATCCATTTTCTTCCCGTCAGCCTTCTTCACTGTCCAACTTTCACACCCTTGAAACACATCTCTCTTTTAAGTTACTCCTTACTCTCGCCACACCCTTTGACACTACCATACTCATAACTGCAAGTGGTTAAACTGAAGGAGCCTTAAAAGCACGCACACCATGCCGCTGTGAAGAGAGGTACTGGCAAAAGCTGAAATCGCCGTCATCCCTGAGTAAGCTCGCAAGAAACTATGTCATTTAGCTACTCAGCAAGTATTCTACAAGTAAGTAAGTAAGTAAGAATACTTACAAGCAAGTAAGTATTCTACATCTAGCAACTCATACTTCAGTCGAAGAGATAACCATTTCTGAGATGAGAACATGTTGTGAAGCGTTAAATAATTCTTCATAAGCTGTCTTCTTTTTGAAGCTCAACCTTGGATAGTTGTATATGGAGGCTTGGCATTAGCAAACCTAAAGCACTACAGGGAGGACAGAAATATTCCCCTTCCATTATCTCTCATCCTGCCATTCTCATCCTGCAACTAAAAGGAGATTCCCTCACCCCTCCACTTTTTTTCAGGACCACAATAAAATGGGAGTGATTTTGAACCATTCAACCTGCACCCAGATGGGGAATTCTGAGCAGACAGTACTAGGTGGTTGAGGCGGTTCGAATGCAACCCCTTTTGGGAAACACCTGCTGAGGAGTATTTAAAATAGAACCAGAAATGTTCCTTTAAAAAAAACTAACTCTCCTTCTTTAAATGAAAGCTGTCTTGCATATGTTAAAAAAAAGCGGGGGGGGGGGGAATATTTCTCTGAATTAAACCCACCCAGCTAGGTGAGGTAAATGAGTTATCCAGGGGAGAAAACAGCCACTGGAAAAACAAGCACCCACCATTGTCAAGTGCTGATTACATTTATTAATTAAAATATTTATTTATCAGTTTTCCAGGATGGGCTGAAAGCTGTAACATCAGAAACATACAATTAGCTATGCTGATTGTCAATTGAATTTGCAAATAATTTTTAATCTGTGTTTACAAGACCCTTTTGAAATACCCTATTAATATTATCTGTTCCAGGGTTCTACATAAGGATCTGGGAAGGAGAGATAGGGTCTTATCCATGGCTGCACCCCTCTGCTATGCCTAAATTCAGCTCCGGCTCTTATAGCTTTCCAACTGCCACTGAGAGGCTACCGGAGTAGAACTTTGCTAACATCTAGCTCCGCAATGGACTGAAGCACTCTGCTGAACTTTCTAACGAAGAAGTTGGAGCCTGAGTTTGTTTCTTCCTCCTCTTCTTCCTCTTCCCTGCCAATGCCTTTGCCTTTTGTGTCATGTCTTTTAGACTGTGAGACCAGACTGATTATAACTGATCTTTGTAAGCAGTTCTGGGGTAGGCGGTAGGGGGAAGCCTTTTCCAAATGACATTGCTCCAGATAAATAAATAGTGCGCTGAAACCGAAACCAGGTCGCAACGCAGTCCCTCCTTGCCTACTTCAGTTTCCCTCCACTGGGTTTTTTATTTCCCCCAGCATGACGCCGGCCAGTGCAGCGAATGACTTGGACTGCCGCTCTTGGTGGGCATCCTGGGGTCATCGGGACTGGGATTCTGAAGGCCACGAACTTGAAGACTCAAGATGGGGGCTCTGGAAACCAGGGAGAGGCAGCAGCCTTGGAGGCCTCCTCAAGGTCACTGCCCGCAGGTTCCCAGCTGGACCAGGAATGTTTCGGAAAGGATGGGAAGGATCGACAAAGTGGAGGAGGCAGGGGCGAGGCACTGGGAGAGCCAAACTGCCCATGTAGAGGGCTTGTGTAGGCTTTATTGGCTGACCCTTCAGACCCCCAGAGTTACTGAAAGGGAAGGCTTTGGGGGAGAAGTCCCCAGTTTGGGTTCAACCTTCTTGACATGAGCAGAGGCTAATCTTCTGACTTAACAAAGGGTTTAGGGTTGCCTTGTCTTGTGGCTGCAAAGCACCGATAAAGATCTGCATTGCAAACTGGCATCCAGACTCTCCCATGACTTTAATGGATGCAAGCAGTGGGTAGAAAGCCCACATGTGCAGATTTCCTTCATATGGAGAGGCATGGATGGAAGGGCACCTGCGAGGAATTTCTGTCGGTCGTGCCTTCAGCCGTGTCTTCTAACTTTCAAGCTGGCCACTGTGGTCACACTATTTCACAGAAGTGAAAGTGTAGCCAGGGCTGTTGCAAGACGTTTTGCCCCAAGAGGCAAGAGGTGAGGCCCCCTGGCTCCCATTCACTTATACAATCTAACTGGGCTGCTACCAGCCGTAATGCTGGCAAGGGGGTTACCGCTTCCACCGCACCCGAGCGTGGCTGTTCACCTCCGGGGACGTGGGGAAGCCCTGGGGCATGGCTGCCCTGTTTCCTCGTATCTTCTGCCTGAGGCAGCTGCCTCTTTCTGCCTAGGGGTCCCGCAGGCCCTGCCTTAGCAAGCGATCACACTGATATGGCAAGCTTTTCCTCCTGTCAAAGGGCAAGGGCAGCCCAAGATATTTCCCTGAACGAGAGAAAGATGGTACAAGAAAATGCCTGCCCCACTTCTCCCTGCTGGGCATTCCGTTGCCCCTCCTCACCCCTGGCCCCAGAACCACATCTGCAGGACCTTTGGGGGTGCAGCTTGCACAGCTGTGGCCTCTCACAGCTTGCTGCAGCTTGCCCTGGCAAGTCCCCCCAGCCTGGGTCTCCCTTCTCCTTCTCCTTCTTCTGCCGCAGCTCTTGGTCCCCCCACCCTGTGTTTCTCTTTTGCCTTGCAACCTGCTGCAAGCTTCCTCCCAGTCTTCAACAGAAGAAAGAAGAGGGGCATGCAAATTGTCACTCACAAGTGCTGAGCGCAGCAGCTGAGGAAGTGGCTGGCCAGCCTGCCTGCCTGCCGCTCCTCTGAACTGGGAAACGGCCCCCCAAGGGCGCAGGACTGCAGGAGAGCGGCTCTCCCGTGCTGTGGCTGCTCTCCCGGGCTTGCTCCAGCCTCCGTGACCAGGGAGAATATTTGGGACCAAGGCGGCGAAGGTGCAGGACTGGCCTGAGTCCTGCCAACAAAGGTTTGCATCCTGGCTTCTTGGTTGCGTGGGGAGTGCAAATGCTTTGTCTCAAAGCACAAGGTTGCATAGCAGGGGGGGGGGGGGGGGGGGGGAAGAGCCCAAGCCAAACCCAAGCTCAAGCCCAGTGCATGTGAGTAGCCAGGGCTGCTCCCGTGCCTTTTCAGAGCAGATCAGAGGGCAGAAATAAAAGGCGAAGCGTCGTACAGCCGAAACGTAATCACTGTCGGTACCTGAGCACCAGCAACATTGGCTACTCTGAGAGCTGAGAAGGGTCCAAAAATGCAGGTGTTTTGCAAGGAGCAATGGCCAACCCTTCCATTCTCTAACCTCGAAATATCTGGCCCCACTTTCCCCCCATGTGTTATGTCACATCCCTCAGGTCTTTGAGACTGAAAGTTTGTGAGGTTTGGAGGTGTTATGTAAATGATATTATTATTGTACTTTGTTTGTAAGAAGAGTTAGACGCATTCACAGAGCATGCATGGAAATGAAATCTTCAGGCACTGGCTTGAGACTTTCCTCTGCTTTCAGGCATGTGACTGCACACGATAAAAGTTTCTAATCAGGACATAAGATTTCTTATTGCGCAATTTTTGTAGTAGTTCAGATATGTGTGCGTGAGTGCGCGTACTGTTTATTTGTGATTTTTACATTACGCACAATATTGTGTTTTCCTGGTTTTAGTCTGTAAACTGCTCAGAGGACTTTGGCTATTGGGAGAGAGAAAAACATAGTAAATTAAATTAATTTTAATGGATGGCTAAATGGAATCTTCATGTTTAGAGACTGTGCGCCTCTAAATATGAAAATTCTGATGACAAACAATAGGGAAATGACCATGAAACATTTGCTTAGCCAGTGTGAATTTTAGAATTAAGAATCCAGCAGGACTCTTTTTATATTCTTAGAGGCATAAGTCAAAAAGTAACCTAGTCTAAGAGTGGGTAAACATCAGGCTCAATGGATTTTGTCCTGTCCTGTCCTGTCCAGAATCTCTGTATTCAACAAATGGAGCCTGGTACAAAAGATATCCATTTAGAATTAAAGAATCCTGAGCCCAGGGATTTGTTTTCAGACAATATCAAGAGTGAATGGGACTGATAGTTCTTTCTTTCACACAAGAATCTGTCCCTCAAGCTTTGGTCTTTTTACTGGCAGGGAGGTGAATCATTTGCTGTTGTTGTTGTTGTAATTATTATTATTATTAGAACATTTCTATGCCGCCCCTTGCCGAAGCCTCGGGGCGGCTTACAACACAATAAAATACAATATAAAAATAACAATATAAAATTAAAATTAATAATATAAAAAAAATAAAAAAAACGATATAAAAGAAGTTATAAAAGTTATAAAAGAAAAGAAGTTGCTGCTAGTTGTCAAACAACTGGGAGCCAGAAATAATTGTTCATCTATTGCATACCATCTAGCGGCTTAACCCTACCTTCTGCCCAGTCCACACGCACACTGAATCAAAATTCCTTTGCATTCTTCATGCTCTGCAGGTGTTTATGCTACCTGTGAGCAAAACCAAATAATAACATCTCCTTGTGATTTTGCTTTCGAGCAACATGTATTTGCCCTTCTGATGTATGAAGTGTGTACCAGTCCTTTCTCTTTTTCCCTTCCCAACTGCCCTGTGAGTTAGGTCCCAATTGTTTCCATTTTGCAGATGATAAGCTGAGGCTTAGCATGAGTGGCAAACTGCCTACACCCGTTGCAGAGAAGTACATGGACTGAAACATTGGGAGGCAAATTCAGCTCTCTTTGCTGCCTCACAAGAGTTCTCTTATTTTACATTTGATACAATTTGTAAATATTATCAAGCCAGTCTTGTGACTACCTAGTAGACACAATATTGTTGCATGTGTCCTTTTGGAGAAGGGTTCGGCAAAGCTTTGTGCATGCATGAAGAAATCACAAAGCTGAAGTGGTGTGTGTATGTGTTCTTACCAACAGAAAACTTCAAACTGTCATTCTATTTTAAGGTATAAATTAAAAATGAACAGTAGATGGCCACTTCAGAAAACCCCAGAATTTCTCTCTATTATTTTCTGTGACCCATGGACCTGAACTGAAGAACCACGGCAGTAAATAATCCAGTGGATTCTTTCTATCTTTGATATTAGAAAGTGTTCATTCTGTTGTTGTCATTAGAAAAGCAAACAAAAAAGCAAGATACTAGTCCTTGTGGCTGCAGAGAAATATTTGGTCAATTTTTTCAAAAGTTTTAAAATTCAGAAGGAACGTTCCCATTTGGCCATGCAATAAGGCTTCATACCCTCCTCATTGCTTTTCTTTCTACTTCTGTGTACCAAATGTATCCCTCCTAGTTTGCCAAAATGCTGGAAAGAACCCTACTACATTCCTCAGCTTGAGGCAGAGATATGAAACATCTTGGTTAAAATTGCCAATTGCCCAAAATTTGTTCTAAAGTCTGAAACAGATCATAGAATCTGATTTGTTTACTGCAGGAGCATGTAGACTTCAGGAATGAAGAATCTACTTTGTTTTTTCAAGAACCCCAAGATCCAGCAGCCAGTGACAGGTGCAAAAGCAGACACTTAGAATTAATGAGCACAGTACCTCTGAGCATAGGAATTTGCTTTTGTAAAATTATAGAAGTAGAAGCAACTTTGGGGATCATTTATCTGACCCCTTGCACAATGCTGATTCTGCATTCCAGATGCAACTGCATGAACCCTTCAAAACATCTGCTTAAATGCCCTGGGCAAAGGAGAGCCCACCGCTTTCCAGGACAGCCTGTTCCGCTGTGGAACAGCGCTCAGCATAAGGGAGTTTGTCCTAATGTTTAGCTGAAATCTGCTTCCACCCACTGGTTCTAGACCTGCTCTCTGTATCAGTAGGGGAAAAAATCTTCTTCACATTATGCATGACCTTCCGATATTTGAATACAGCTATCATTTCTCCCTGTAATCGTCTCTTCTGAAAGGCTGAACATGCCCAGTTCCTGAACCATTCCTCAGTGGGCTTGCAGGGCTCAGTTCTTCCACACAAAGGCTCCTGGCTAGCCCAAGCGCTTCTTCATTTCAGCAGCCTAATTTAAGTGATAAAGGCTATCGGGCAGTTGCTTTGGTTAAATGGTTTGGATTCAGAAACCTTCGCCTACTGCAAACTAGCCCAGGGACCTACCCATAGATCCTGATCTACCTACTTCTGCACAATCTGATTTACTTCAATCATAAACAACTGTACTCAACAGGACCACTTGTGGCAAGTGTTCTCAGGGCTTTCCTAGCCCACGGCGCACACTGGTAGGGAGACACCATCCTAGTGCAATCCTTTTGTCTGACTTAGGTCAGACGCTTACTTACATCTTGACAGAATTACACAAACAAGAAAATTAAATAAAATCAGATAGGAAAGCATGACACTGAGATTGAAATAGAACAGTAAACTCATTCAGATCTGTAAACTTTACATATTTAGATCATAGAACTTTTCCTCTTTTTTCAACAACTGATCTATAAGTACAGAAATCTAGGGAAAAGAATTTCGTTAACTTAAAGTCACCTGAGTGAAAAAAGTAAGGTTGCTTTGCTTTTCTAATGGCACTTATCAAAGCATCTTCACATTCTCTGTCATCACAAACAGCTATTATCACCTAGCTCCTTATTTAGAGTCACTAAAGTGGACTAAAAATTTTAAAATACCAATAAATGTGCATTGAACATTACCAAACAGTTTACATTAGAAATGGGAAAGTGGAGGAGAAAAGAAGAAACTTGCTTTATTGCTATGCTGATCCAGTTTGACTGGAAAATTAAATGGGTGGCAGGAAACAGGTGAGGCTGAGTTCACAAACCAGCCCTCCTAACCCGGCACCCTTCAGGTATTTTGGGCTTGAACTTCCCCCAGACCAGATCCAGCCAGCAAAATCAGTGGTCATGAATTCTGGGAATTGTAGTCCAAAACATCTGGAAGGCACCAGGTTAGGTAAGCTTTTTCTGGGCTTTTTGCAAATTTGCATGGGGGGAAGTGGGGAGAGAGAGACCACCCATGCACATACTTGCAAACTAGACTTTTACCATGCTATTGACCTGCCTCGTGCATGGATTTCCTCGGGCCCAGATGTTATTCTCCACTCAGCCCTCCCCTGCTCTCCCATTGCTTCTTCCATATTTCTGGCTTGCTGTGGAAAACCTGTTAGAGGAAGAAAAACCGGAGTAGCTACACCATGTCTTCTGAGGTAGCCCTCTGTTGAGAAGCAGCTAGCAAGAGGCAGGTGGCTGAAACAGGCAGGAAACCGTATTACCCACTTCGGCAAGAAGTGGCTTCTCAAGGAAGTTTTTGCCCTCGCATCCTACCTGGGTTCCTTTTCGCCGGAGCTGCTGTGGGCAAAACAGGTCCTTCGGTGCGGAAACAAGATCTCGGCTGCTTAACCCTCGTTCCCTCACTACTGAGATAATAAACATTGCTTGCACATTAACGTTTGAGTAAGAACAGGATGCTCGCTGAAGAGAGGAGAATTTCTAACAATCCAAAGAGGAAACTTTTCGAGCTTTCACATTGCATCATCAAACGCTGCGTCAGACTCTCCAAGCAGGTGGTTCTACATCTGGTTTATTGTTGAGTGTGTCTACTCACGCAAGTTCATGTTGGGGTCATTCTGAAAATCAGCTCCGGGCAAGCAGCACCCTGAGAAACTCAAGCTGCATTTTTTGCACGGGAGCTGTGAGCTTCAGCTTTGTTTCGGGGGCAGGGGACCCTCCCAAGGCCAGAAGGCAGGGGTGGGCAACTGTGTTGGGCTGGGGCCGCATGATGCCCCCACTAGCCCATTGCGTATGCAGGCCGCAGTTGTCCCTCCGCACTTTGCTGGGGAACCTGGGTGCCCTCCTTACCCTCCCAATTGCAATTGCAAGCCGTGTGGCGGCGGGATCCCTGCTTTTCCCTACCTTCTCTGAGCCCCTTAGCAACTGACTTCCCCATGAAGGACAGGGCGCCGTACCTCCCAGGTCCGAGCAGAACTAGCAGCAGGAATCCCGCTCCCCTCGAGGGCTCGCTGGTGGGGTCTGAGGAGGGCTTTTGGCTGAGGCCCTGCAAGCTCCTTAGGCCAGCCCGGAGGGTCAAATGTGGCCGTGGATGAAGGTTGTTCATCCTTGCTGGAAGTCCGAAGACCTTCAGGGGAGGCTCGCTTCTCTCAGTGCCACCATTGTCAGAGGCATGTTTGGTGGGGCTGCGGGAAAAGGGCTCCTCTGGAGCCACAGTGAGGCTCAGGAACTCCCAGCCAAGAGAGACTGGGTTGACCGTGCCTCTGATGTCCTTCTGCCCACAGATGAGGCTTCTTTTACTCAGACCTTTGGCATGAATAGTGATCTGCTGCTGAAGGGATGCTGAATTAATTTCAACCTGTGTTTTTCATTTATTTATTTTTATGCTCTGCCTTAAATAAGATTTTGTTAATTAGGATTTACTATTTGTTTCTGTGAGTGCCACCCTTTGGGGAAGATGAAAAGGCAGGAGAGAGGCAGTTCCCTCAGCTTGTACAAGTCCGCTTAATGAATATATCCAAGAGCTGAACCCCAGCATATTTTCATACTAGTTTGTTCATTTCCACAAGGCCAGAAGAGGGAGTTATATTTGCAGAACCTGTCTCTCTTACACTGTTAAGACTCAGAGAATGTTAGGGTGGGAAGGGAATTTGGAGGCTGTCTAACCCCAGGCTCAGTATTGCCAATCATACTATACGTGCCATTTAAACTATCACGCTAAGGTTCTTTTTGTAGATTAAGAGCGAGATGTCTTCAGCAAGGGAATAATGTTTCTCACTTCTGAGATTACGTTTCTAACAACTAAATACGGTGACTCACCACTGAGCATGTGAAATATTTCTGGGGTTAAATAGCAGCCATACAATAGGTGGATTTCTCTTTGATTCAAAGTATTTGTGTTGTTAATTCCTGTATCTATAGTCTGTCAACGTGCTTGGCTTTAAACATTTCACCTCAGTTTTAGTCCCTCCTTTTTGTATCTCTCTCCCTTCAGCTTATTGATTTCAATTAGTTTAATTCTATTCATTTAGTACTCAATGAGATCCACCGTTCTAAGATCTCCTATGACAGGCATTATTTTAGAAGAGTTGGGAAAACTGTGTTGTCATTCACAGTTTAATTGTTTATAGTTACCGTGGATATCTTCTGTAACGGAGCTGTACACAAACTGTAAGCCGTACATTTCATGGCCTGTTTTCCTCTCAACCTGTGCTGTCATATGTGTTACCATGTGTTCCCCAAGCAGAGCTGAATTCCTACCCAAAAGGGGGTTGTCAGGCTAGAGGAAGCTCCCCATTCTATGGAAGTGCAATGCATCTTGTGGGGGGGAGGGACTTTCGTGGGGGGAATCCTCCACAACCAGCCTAATGAGGATTGAACAGACTCAGTCAGTCTGCCCAGGGTAGGCGCAAGCCTTTGCCTCCGAGGGTGTAGCATTGTTGTAGTAGGAATGCTTCTTCTGGAACAGGATTTCAAGTCCAGGGATGATAAGAGACCACCTTTGTACCAATGCATTCAGGTCCTGCAAAGAGCAGAAATAACTCAACTTTGAAAAATGACCTGATTTAAGGGTGCTTCTGATGGTAATAGTAATAATCACATGTATTTCATTTATTCATCCTGTCCTATCCTGTCCCCTACAGAACATCTCAGAATGGCTTACAATAATTTATAATTTTAAGATATATTTTCTTATATATAAAATTAAAAAAACCCAGATAAGATGTGGACAAAGGATTCAAGCAAGGTTATCGGAGATGAAGTTTGGCAGAAGCTCTTAGATAGAAATACAATGTTTTCAGTTCCTATGTCATTGAAAGAACCTCTGTTAAAAGTCAAATGTGTGTTTGAATTATAATGATTTATTCCCCCCTTCAATGAATTCCCAGGGTGGCTTACACAGAATCAAAATCTCAATAAAAGCTATTTGAATCAAACCAATTAACATTTACTTAGGACAACCTAAATTGTTTTGAGTGTTGCTTTCATCTGATTTTGTGCTCAAATTTCTCAAACTGTGTTACATTTATTTGAGCAATATTAACCTGATTCGCATTAGAAGGCCCCTAATCTAAAGACCCTGATCTAAAAATACTGCTCAAACTGGTTCCCTGTGTTTTTATAACCAACCCAGTTTTAGTTTTAATGGGGTAGAATATAATGATGGTTATGTGTGGAAATCAGGAGATTCAACTGCTTAACCATATGCCCAGATACTGTTTTCTAGAGGATTTCAGGATGACTCATGCATGCAAAATAATGAAAGGAGATGGAAATAGTGATAGATGGATATGGATATATACTTGACTAAAGTGTTAACTGATTTCTGAGGTGAACTGAAAGTTCTCTCTATGCCGTTACACATGCAAGGTAGCTTGTTCACACACTCTCTCTTCATCAGTACTGTAGTCACTGTATAATTAATTAACCACAAGACCCATGTACCTAACTTCCTTCAAATTGCATCTATGATTTTTAAATCCTTCTCCCAAGTCTTTCAATCTGTCCACTCTCATTTTGCCTGATAATAAAATAGTCCATTCAAGATTCAGCCAAACAGGATAGCTTTTCTGCTTTGTCTAAAGGTCTTCAAGGGCAAGAAATGGTTTTAATTGTGCCAGGGCTTCATTGTGGCTTCACAGTGGATGCAGCTTCATAAAGTCATGCTTGTTTATATAGAAACTTTCTGTCTGATACATTTTGTAGGTTTCTCATGCAGGAAGCACTAAAAACCTGAAAAAATGCTGTGAGATGACATGGACAAATGACACAAAATGCCTGTATATCACTAACAATGACAAAAATGTAATTTTTCAAGTCTCCATTGCATCTTGTTATGTTTTATTTTTTTGGGTGTGCCCCAGCAGGTGTCAACTGACTGTAGTGTGTACAGTAACCACCCACCAACCTCAGAGAAAAAAGTCCTTATAAGGAAGCCAACACAACGGAAAATAAGGCAAGTTTAAATTGCTGCTTGGTTCGTTTGTTTATGTGGAGGCTTCGGGGTGGAGTGTGATTTCTTCAAGCTGGGACCACCAAAATATTTTGCTCCCCTAGAAATTAATTAAGATACCACAACCCCACCCTGGCAGAACATACAGACTGCAGCCAAGGGCTTTTTTTGTTTGCTTGTTTCATTTCTAATTTGAGTTGCTTCATTCCTACACTGTTGTGTGATATTTCTGATATTCAGGAAAAACTAGGAGTTTTACTAAAGCTAAAGAGGAATTCCCCTCGCTAAAAAAATTCTTTCATTGAATTTTATTGGTTTTATTGTATTTATGTCACCTTCAGAACTTCAGCTGGAGGCCAACTCATAAGCTGCATGAATGAGAACCTGGTTTCCTAAGCACTTCACGCTTCCCTGGCAAACAGTGCCCAACACCCAAAGTAGAGGATGCTTTCACATTCGGGCAGCCACTTATACATTGCCTGTCCATAAAGCAGAACTGCATTACTGAACAAGGACAGATGAGAACACAGATATGCCTAAAATGTGCATGTACTAATTAATATATACAGAGGAAAAGTGATAAATAATCCGTGCCATGGAAATAGACATGTGCTGCACCTCATCATAGTGACCAGCTAACTTGTGTGTCTGAGTCTGCTGTCCTGGAGCTGATGAGCAACTTCAAGGCCCTCCCTCCTTGCTTTCCCTGCCTTGGATTCTTTACCTTTAAAGTGCATGTGTGCTTTCCTCTAACGGCCCTTGGAACAGGGGGCTGTTGTCAGGAAAGGAGGACAGATGGCTGCCCAATTTACCGCCGACCTTGTTGTGTGGGATTGCATCCTTCTGTCAGCATTTATAGAGAAGCCAGGCAGTCATAGAATCATAGAATCGTACAGTTGGAAGGGGCCAAGAAGGCCACTGAGTTCAACCCCCTGTTGTCAAGGACACCAGTTTACACCATCCCACACAGCTCATTATCCAGTTTCTTTCTGAATGTCTTTAGTGTGGGAGAGTCGCTACCCCACTAGGCAGCTGGTTCCACTGTTTGACAGTTCCATTGCTCTGGCGGTAAGGAAACTTTTCCTGATATCTAGCCTGAATCTGGGTTGTTGCAACTTTAGTTTATTATTACATGTCCTACACTCTGGTATGAGCAAGAAGATACCTTGTTCTTCCTCTTTATGTCAGCCTTTCAGCTATTTAAAATGTGGTATCATGCCCCCCTGATTTTGCTCTTCTCAAGGCTAAACATACACATTTCTCTCAGTCTCTCCTCATAGGACAATGTTTCCAATCCCTGGATTATTTTCGTTGCCTTCCTTTGGACCCTTTCTAGTTTTTCTCCATCTTTCTTAAATCTTGGTGCCCAGAACTGGGCATAGTATTGACTAGGGCAGAGTAAATGAGAACTAGTACCACTCTTGCTTTGGAAGTGATAGTTCTACTTATGCATCCCAAAATAACATTTGCCCTTTTTTGTGCAAACGCATTTTTCTGCATTGCATTGCTGGCTCTTATTTAGCCTGTTGTCCACAATAACTCTTTTCCTTTTCAGTTCTGTTGAGCCACTTATTCCACATCTTGTATTGATGCATTTGGCTTCTTTTTCCTAGGTGCAGTACTTGGCATTTGTTCTCATTGAATCTCATTTTGTTACTTTCAGCCCAGCATTCAAGCTTATCAAGATCAACCTGGATCTTCATTTTGACTTCCAGGGTGTTTGCTCTTCCACCCTGTTTTGTATTGTCTGCAAATTTGTCCAGATCCATAGCAGGAAGATTTCTCTATTCTCCTGGCTGCTTTTTCCAGGCCTCTGCTTCCTTTTTGCAATAAAATGGAGCTGCAGTGCTGGTCTTCATGGAGTGAATGAGAAAAATACTTCAAGCTTTTAATGGTTCATCTACATTTAATTTTTAAAATTTGAGTGACAGGCTTAGATTTTTGAGCTTGACCTGGGATGGAAGGGGAAGAATGGATACCCTTTAATAATCTCTTTTATGCAAACTTACCAGAGAGTGTGTGCCCCCTCCCCACAACATTTTGAAAGGCTGAATGATCTCCCCTAAGGTTGAATTACTGGCAGGAAACACTAAGCCAGGGGTGTGCAACCTTTTGGCTTCTCTGGGCCACAATGGAAGAAGAAAAATTGTCTTGGGCTGCACATTTAATACACAAACACTAATGAAAACCGATGAGGAAAACAAACAAACAAACAAAAAACACAAGGTCTGTGCATAAGTTTTGTGATATCTGCCACCACAGATAAGCAAAAATGTCTTCACATAATAATCCTAAGAGAGCATATGTATGTTTATTTTATGTGACATTGCATCACAACGTTGTCATCTACAAAGTTCATGCTCAAGAACCACATAACTGAGTTACTAAAAAAAAAATCGCAAAAAAATCTCATAATGTTTTAAGTAAGTTTATGATTTTGTGTTGGACTGCATTCACGGTCATCCTGGGCTGTATACAGCCTGTGGGCCGCAGGTTGGACACCTCTGCTTTAAGCTAAAATATGCTGGTATTTTGGTTCCCATCCACTTTGCCTGCCCCTCCCCAGAGTGTTACTCCCAAAGATCCTGGAAATTAAATTCAGTTCTTAGACTGAAAGAGGATGGGCACCCCTTATCCTAAGGCCATGGTATGAAAGCACAAGAAGAGACAGCCTTGCTGATGCTGAGCAGATCTGGGTTTATTCTTTGCCTAAATGGGAGACCAACTGGAGTAGCTTCAAGCTCCACAGAAGAAAAACAGAATATAAAAGAGATACATTTGCTGCCTCTCTGTACGTCCTCAAAAATGCAGCAGTGGCTTTACTTCCAAAATGTTCATATTGCTATGGCAGAAGCAAATGAGCTATGGTCTGAATCTCCCAACAAAGGGTGTCATGTTGAAACAATGGATTTTGTAATCTTGTGGAAATGTTTCTTGGTGTACCTGGAGTTTAAATTTGGAATTGGACACAGATTTCAAAACTGTAGAGTCACCCCCAAAAGTGGTTTTGATTGCTTGGACTTCAATACATAACATGGGAAGGAGCATAAAAGGCAAGCTGCCTCTGAGCCTATGTTGTGGTTAGCAGATCTGATCCTATCAGATTTATTTATTTGCATATACTACACAGGTCATCCAAAAAAAAAACAAAAAAAAAGACATTTCTTAACAGATGCTACATTTCAATGCAAAGAAATTTAATTTCACAAAGTGAACCCTGATCATATAGAGCAAAGGTGTCAAACCTCTTTCAGCCCAGGAGCCACATTCTGTTTTAGAAGAGCTCTTGGGGCCCATGTTCCAGTAGTGGGTTGGTCCAAAGGCAAAAAAGGAGTTCAAAATGTCCAGAATGCCTGTCTGTTTGAGCTGCAAGCACCTCCTGCCAGTAACTAAGCCTCAACACAGGCTCTGCAGCCTTTCAGGATGGCAAGAACTTGCCAAACCTGGCAACCACCCAATGGTGAGTGGTCAGGTGAGAGAAAATATCATCTTTGTAGTTTGACACCTGCCTTGCTCACAAAGCAGTCTCTCCAAATGCAGACGTCCCCAAGTAGCTCTTCAAAATCCAATGCTGAGTATCTGACCCCTTAGCATGTTACCAAGGGGCAAGATTACGAGATCAGCAGGCACGCCATGGCCTGCAGCAGCAAGGCAAGTTTCGGCTTCTGTTCATGGCATGGGTTGTTTTTTCTTTTTCTTTTGGTTGGTTGGCTTGGTTTGTTTCCTTTTGTATAAATCGTACATCAGCATGGTTTTGGCTGAAATTCTCAGGGTGGGGTTTCTCAGCTTTCTCCTCTTTTGAGTAAGCTTTCTCTTCCTTTGAAAAAGCTTTGGCGTGATTTCCTTTGCTTGAACCTGAATACAGATGGCCCAGACTTACTTTGTCGTGAGAGAAGCTGCCTTCTTGTTGCAAAGGCATCTTTTTACTCGTGTTTCAGAAACGGTGTCTCTGGAAAGGCAATCGCAGGACAAACTGCTTTGCATCCCTTGGTTAATCTGTCTGGATTACAAGCATGTGCCTACCTGTACGCATTGCCCAGGCTAGTGTTGGAGTAGGCAAGTCTGGGCACCTGCCAAGGAGCTGGACCACAGCACAGACCCCTGGATGTGCTGTCCTGCCTCACCTTTGCAGCCTGCCTCTTGGCCTGCCGCTTGCTCTGGCCAGACAAATGCCCTGGCCTCCTCGCTCCCCAGGCGCCTGCCTGCCCAGCCAGCAGGTGGTGGCAGTGGTGGTGAGAGGGAGATGCATGGAGGTCTCTTCCTAAGGGCCCTCCAAAACCTGGAGAGGGAACTGCGCATTGCTCAGTGGGTTGCACGCATCAAGGTGCTCTGCTGGCAGGTTAAGAGTGGAATGGGGCAGGTGGGCATGGCATACCATCCACCTCATAGTAGGCATGTCCAAAGCCCTGGCCCAGGGCAGTGTGCCAAGCCACCCTACGGCTGTCTCCCCAGGACCACTTCCTGCGGGCAGAACGGACGCCAGGTTTCGGCTGCACAGCCGGGACCACAGCCCAGGTGGAGTGCCCCTCCCAGCCACGATCTACCCAGAAGCCCTCCTCGGCATCCGAAGCCTTCCTATTTGCCAGACGCCTTTCCTGAGGGAGGCTTGGCGAGAGCCAGACTCCCAGATGCAGAGCAGTCTCTCTCTGCGGTCTGCCTGCTGCCAGCTCCACTGCCCATTCAGCACCACATTGAGCTTGTCCTCTGTGCCCAGGAGCTTGAGCGCTCTGAACAGCATGTGCAGGGGAAGACGTTATTGCAGCCGTTTGGACGGGCCTGGTTGTACCCCTGTCTTGGTGGCTTAAGGCATTGGAACATGTGGCTTTTAAATCTCCACAGAAAAAATAGGGCATTGTTACTGCTATTTGTGCTTTATGCTATGTAGTCTTGTCCGGCTCCAGAGAGCTTTGGCTGTCGGGTGTTATCAAAATTAAATAAATAAGGATAAGAGGACAGGCCAGACGATAGTCATATTAAAAGGTTACTGCAAAGAATCAAGCCCATCTAGTTCTTGCACAGAGAATTTCAAAGGGATGTAAGCCGCAAGTGTAAGAGTACTCTTGGACACAGAAGTGCCTTGGGAAGCGGCCTTGTATTGGGCCATCGTATTTGCCCATCTCCCCCAGGAAGTCTGCTCTGACTAGCAGTGGACAGCTCTCCAAGGGGTCTTTGCCACCAGCTGGTTCTCACTGTACCTGACAAGTAATCCCAGGGGTTGAACCTGACATATCCTGCATGCATGCAAATTATCTTCCTGCCACTCAGCCTTGGCTCCTCCCTTAAACATCCATACTGATTATGATTTCACCACTTTTCTTTCGGGGAGGAAGGAAGCAATGTCTGTTTCTTGTCTAGTGCTCTCAGTCACTTGCCAGATTGCCCCAAGTAACTGCTCCTCTTTTGCTTCCTAGGCCATGCTTCCCGCAGGGTGGATTGTGAGACTGGGGCTTCCACTTCTGCTCCTAACACTGGCGTGTGGAGAGGAGGGACCAGATACAGGTAAAGTGGAGAAGCCGGCTGTGTGCATGCCTGCCTGTGTGTGAGTGTGAGAGAGAAGCAGAGCAAGAAGATGGGGGCAGAATCTTGCAACCTCCATATTGTTTTCCTCAAGAGTAGCCTTCTTGCCTTTCAGTGCCATGCACTATGCTTCTAAGCAAGCGTGCATAGAAATACAGCCTGATGGCTCCAAACCTGGTGCTTTGTTGGATAACTGTTGTGGTTTCGGAGGGTTTCGCGGCAGCAACACAGAGTAGGGAGGTGGGAGGAGATTGAAAGCAGACAAATTCTCCTGCACCACTGAGCTCAACTGCCTGGTCGAAGCGAAGGTTTTGGGGAAGCACGGACTTCCTGAGAGCCGAAGACCAGTGGAATGGCTGTGGAATGTGGGAATATTCATGTATTTGCTTGAAGTATTTTCATGTTGCTCTCAAGGTGGCTTATACTTAACCAGTAGTATAAATGGTCCCTGCCTGAAGGTTTACAGAACCCACAAAGAAAAAGGAATGGGGAGGGGAGGGGAGGAGAAAAAAATTAAGTCTTTCAGCAGGGCTTGTGGGATGATGCCCCTCTCATCTCCCGTTGCACAGCCTTCTGGAATGGCTGCTGCTGCTGATAGTTCATGGGATAGGAGAAGGGGAAAGCCGGGTTTAATCTTAGCCTGAGAAAGGAGCAGCATAGGCAGGACATGCCCTGTCATGAGTGCTGAGGAAATAGACTGTGCTAAGCCGGCTTCCTTAAGCCTGGGGACTTCCAGGTATGTTGGACTGCACTTTCCATCCACCCTCTCCACCCAGCATGGCCATAAGCTATGCTAGTGAGGGATGATGTGAGCTGGACTTTAACCCAGTGGTTCGGTTAAGACAACATGATAACCCTGACTCAAGACTTAAGTATTGATTGAGTATGGGTTGTCCATGAACCACAGGCTGTCTGAACCCAGCTGTGCTAACAAACCAGGGTTTGTTAACCACAAACAACTCATGAAGGGAACCTATGGTAGCTTTGTTGTAAAATATTCAGTAAGCTATGTTGTTGCTCAGTTAATCAGATCTAGCAGCGCTCATTGTCACAAAATGCAAGTCTTCCATAAAGCTAACAGATCTTGGCCTCCCATCGCACAATGAGTCACTTGAAAATATTCTTAATTATGCATAATAGGAGGTAGTATATTGTTGCAAGGGAAATTCAAC